AAAGTAACCGCTGGTCAGTTCTAGAAAGTTACTACTGCCACAGGATTAAGAGACAAATGAGTAGCGCATTACATAATGATGCAATTTTTCAGGGGAAATAACACTGCAAATTAAATCATTTCCTATGCAACCTGTTATAAATCAGTGAATTTTGATTCTATACCTCATCACCCCATTTAAGAATGTCTCCTTGTCTATCTCGGAGTCTCTTGTAAAGGTTAATAAATTGAATAACTCCATGTTTGCGCACATGATCGGATAATTTCTTTGTCTCTTCCCAACTTAAGGGACTTCCTTCGGAAAGTAGGCCCATCTTCAATTAATTAATCGATAAATAGTCTACGAAAATTAACGTCGAAAATAAAATCACGGAAAACCGATCCAATACCCGACTTGTGTTAACTCGTGTTCACAAACTTCTATCACAGTTCAGAGCTGCGTTCGGAAACATCATCCGCGTCTACCCGTGTACACACGAACGTCGTTCTATCTTTTAGGATGCCATTACATGAAGCGCGGAAACGCGGATTAGCGTAATAACGCGGAACGAGAGTGAAACCAATCGCGAGCATTCTGCAGTTTTTGTTACGCTCGCGATTGGTTCCCTTCTCGTTCCGCGTTACGCTAATCCGCGTTTCCGCGCTTCATGTAATGGCATCCTAAAAGATAGAACGACGTTCGTGTGTACACGGGTAGACGCGGATGATGTTTCCGAACGCAGCTCTGAACTGTGATAGAAGTTTGTGAACACGAGTTAACACAAGTCGGGTATTGGATCGGTTTTCCGTGATTTTATTTTCGACGTTAATTTTCGTAGACTATTTATCGATTAATTAATTGAAGATGGGCCTACTTTCCGAAGGAAGTCCCTTAAGTTGGGAAGAGACAAAGAAATTATCCGATCATGTGCGCAAACATGGAGTTATTCAATTTATTAACCTTTACAAGAGACTCCGAGATAGACAAGGAGACATTCTTAAATGGGGTGATGAGGTATAGAATCAAAATTCACTGATTTATAACAGGTTGCATAGGAAATGATTTAATTTGCAGTGTTATTTCCCCTGAAAAATTGCATCATTATGTAATGCGCTACTCATTTGTCTCTTAATCCTTTTTCATCGATTCGTCGCGATGGTATACCACGTGCTTTATAATATAAACTAGGTATAGCCGTTCAAATATTTATCGCAATATCATCGAGAAATTGATCGAAGTCTATCCACATTTTCCACATTCCTCGTTTCGCATTGCATCGTATATCGTATGCATATAGAAATTTTCTGATATTGTACATGTAATTATCACATGTCATTACCACATAATCACCTGGTAATGATTCACAACCCGCGTTTGTTGCACTGTCATAATCTTTTTTTAGCTAAGTAATCAAGATAGCAATTTATCTCTCTCATGTCAAACTTACATTCCTCGTTGGTCATACTTGAATGCGATATATTTTGCTCTCTTTCCTTGTGTATATTAAAAAGTATTTTATATTTTTACAACAATGCATAATTTCAGAAATATTTCTGGCTCAAAATCAGTGATAATTGTGGATTACATAGATCAGCAATGCGTCATAAGATCATTTGAATAGAATATTTAATATTAAGAAAATAATATTAGACAATCAATGGAGTCATCAATTGGAAATCTTGTTTATTGTTTATATAGATTATATAAATATAACATCTAAATCTTAAAAAAAAAGAAAAACAAATTTGTGGAAAAATTCAGATTATTAATTTTTATTAAAAACTATTCAAACACAACTAAATATAAAAAAGGAATATTTGTTAAAGAGAGAATCGAGTTTTAATATAATATTGATTTACTATGAACATTTATTACTCACTACACATTCTGCAAACTGTTATATGTTTTGTGTACCAATATTTCAGTAGTAATTATATACTCTATATTATTTCACATTTAAATCAATTTTCTTTTAGCACTTTTTTACAGTATTCATTTCTTTATTTTTTGCAAGAATTTTTTCTTTTAAATGTTCGATTAAATTAAAATCTGAACTTTGTGGTAAGTTTCCAAAAGATGAGAGGTATTATAAGAGTCATTATTTTAGAATACAAACAGCATACTTTGAAATGTTACCTTGTTTTGATAATGTTCATATAATTAATGTTTTCAGAAACTTATTATAGTGTTTTGTAAAGCTCTCGAGATAAGCTACAAGAATATGTAATAAAAAGTAGGCAGTTCCATTTAAAAAATTGAAGGTGACCTTGACGTGACCTTCAAGCAACTATTCAAGGTCAAATTAATGACACCACCTTATGTCCCCCTCGAAACCATACAACTTTTGTCTGAAATATTTTTTTCTAAAATGCATTATTTACGAGATATTTGACAGTTTCCAGACTTTTCTAACACCCTGTATATATATACACAGGATGTTTCAAAAATAGGTGGCCAAACTTTAAGAGCATATTCTACTCATTATAAGGCTGAAAAAAAGTCATATATCATGGGTCCGAAAATGCTTCCTTTTCAAGTTATAAATATTTTTTATTTACATTGAACAACATGCCTCACATCGACGTTTCATGAATTGTCCTTCTATTCACTTTTTATTAAATGTAAACAAGAAGTTTTATTTATGGGGTCATCTTAAGACTCTCGTTTATGATATTCCGGTTGCTATTGTGGAAGTACTCCGAAACCGTATTATCGTTTCGTGTGACAAAATACGAAATACTCCGGGAATTTTTGAACGTCTTCGACAATTCATGCGACGTCAATGCGAGGCATGCATTAATGCGGAAGGAAATCATGTCCAGCAATTTCTAATGAAATGTTCTTACAGTTTCAAATGTTCTTAAAGTCTGTTATAAATAAAAAATATTTATAACTTGGAAAGGAAACGTTTCCGTACCTATATTTATATGACTTTTTTTTCATCCTTATAGTGAATATGCCTTGAAAGTTTGGCCACCTATTTCTGAAACACCCTGTATATATGTATATAAATATATATATATATATATAATCTTGACATCTATGTGTTATCATTGCAGTAAAAATATTTTATATAAAAACATAACACACTTTATTTTTTCAAATGTATAAAATAAAAATAAATAAATAAATTTATTTATTTTTATGTAGGGTGACGAGAATAGAAAGAATAAAAGTTGAGCAAATAAAAGAATATAATAATGGGAATAAAAGAATACAATAACGAACGAGCAAAGAGAGAGAGAGAGAGTGTGTGTGTGAGTGAGAGGGTGAGGGGGGAGGAAGGGAGGTTGGGAGAGAGAGAGGGTGAGGGGAGAGAGAGAGGGAAGATTTTCACTTGAAACGACTTTCGCGTTTTGTCGGTAATTTTGGATCCCCTTAAATGATTGATTTGGTTCAAATATTTTTATGATTCTCTACATATAAAACATTTCAGAGCAATATATGTTGTAAATAGAAAATTTCGTTTGCAATTTATTTATTTTTGATTATTTTATATTATTTTTTTTTATTTATATAATCTCATTAATATTTAATAATTATATTAAACATTTTTTTTTATATATATAGCATAATTATCTTTATATAGGTAGAGTACATGCTCATAAAATTTGATGATGATTCAAAAACCGCAAAACTCAGTTTAAGAGCTGTGGAGATATTAAAAATCTTAAATGAAAAAGAAAATGAAGATCCAAAGTAAGTCCACTAAACAGTATATTAAAATAATACCTTTCCTTAATATCTCTCTTTCTTGTATTTAATATATATAATACTGTAAATATATATTAAATAAAAATTAATAAATAAGCTTTAAAATATCAGCATGCTTTCTTTTGTTAATTTTTATAATAAGTAATTCTTACTTTTAATTT